ATGTAGGTCCCCTCTAACGTTTTAGCAGGCAGGAGTTGGGGGGATTCTTCCAGGATTTTGGAGGGACTTGCACCCATTTGCAGACAAAATGTGCAGACAGAAAGTGGACTGTGAGTCAAGGCTCCCTAATTGGACATCTCTGAAAAGGTCCTGACCCGTCTTATACAGAAAACATCTTCCCCTTCAGCTACCACCCCTGCCTTTGTGACCAAAAGACAGGGTTTCTCTGGGACCTGTCCAGATTTGGGTCACCATTACCAGTGTGGTCCTGCCTGGGTCTTCTTTTAGCTTCCTATATCCCCAATATCTCTGTTCCCTCCAATTGACAAAAGCCATGATTTTGAATAGGGCTTTAGAAATTAATGGCCCTAAAATTGCTATCTGGGCCAGGGGCCTAGAGGTGAAGGTGAATCTGTCCTCCTTATGGCTCTGCAAATCAAATATTGCAGCAAAGGTGGATCTAAGTTCCAGGGTTGGGGACTGCCTGATCCCTCCTTCTATTTCCTGAAGGAACTAGCTGGCTAATTCTAAGGGGACAACCTCCTTTCCTATGGCTAGCCATTCCTGTATGTGTTTTGAGGCTATAGGAGCCACTGTTGCGGTATGGTGGGCCAAATGCTTAATTAAAGAGAAAAGAGTTGCATCTGAGCAATCTGTGGGTGAAAGCCAGTTAAAGAATGGTAACCAGAATGGGCTGGTTATGGGAGATAGACTCCACCACCAGATGTCTGAAAAGAAGGAGCTCCATTTCTGCATGGGACAGTGGTCCCTACCACTCATTTCTGGGAGAGGGTGGGAGAAAGAATCACCTGCCAGGAGGTTCAGCCATGCTAGTCATGGCTGGAGGTGCTCCCTAAGTTGGCAAATATCAGGAGTGCTGGATAATTGAAGGTCACTTCCTGATTTTTCCTCCTCAGTTTGGCTTAATGTATATTGACCTCAAGTCAGTGGTGGTGGGGGGTCTCTTGATATCCCAGATATCAAGATGTCCCATAGATGTTACTATCTATGGGATGGGTTCTTTTTCTCCATCAGGTAAAGGATTAAGAGGCAGGAAAATTGTGAGAGAGTTTTAGCAAAAGTTTATTGAGGAGGTAGAAAGTGAAAGTAAAGCGGAAACTTCCTCAGGAAACCAGTAGTCCACTGATGCCCTCCGGAATTTTCCCTTTTATGACCTTCCCACTACTCTCCCCTGGGTGATGTGCTCTGTCCTGATTTGCCCGGGTTTCTGTCACCTTCTTTTCATGCTGGTTTTTCTTGCTCCTGATTGGATCCCCCTCCTGTGTGCACTAGGGGGGAAGTGTCAATTTGATTGGTTTCCCCATCTATGGCCACAAGTGCTGCAGGAACACAGGCATGCCAGGAGTCTTCCCAGTCCCAGGGCATGTTGGAATGAAGAAGCCCCTGGAGCACTGAGGCCATGTGGAATACGCCATCTTTCCCTAACTGCTTGTACTCCATTATCTGTCTCTCATTGGATGATTGTTAGTTGAAATGTTGTCTTTCATTACTTAGAATGTCATCTAACTGCCTTCTCACCTCCATTGTTTCTAATGAGAAGTCATCTTTTCTCTTACATGTGATGAGTTATTTTTCTCTTGATGCTTTCCAAATTTTCTTTGCCTTTGTTTTAGCTTAGATGTGTCTACTTGCAGATTTCTCTGTTTCTCCTGTGTTGATTTCTTAGGATGTGTAAACTAATGCTTTTCATCTTCACTATTATATGTCTTTTTTCTTGTAGTACTTTTTTTTGCTGTACTGGGTTTGAACTAAGGGCTTCATACTTGCTAGGCATTTGCTCTACCACTTGAGCCACATCTCCAGCTGAGTACTGGGGTTTTGAATTCAGGACCTTGTGCTTGCTAGGCTAGCCCTCTACCACTTGAGCCACACCCCTAGCCCTTTTTGCCTTCGTTTATTTTTCAGGTAGGGTCCTTTTTTTTAATTTTTATTTTATTCATATGTGCATACAATGTTTGGGTCATTTCTCCCCCCTTCCCCCACCCCCTCTCTTACCACCCCCTGTTACCCCCCCTTACCCCTCACTACCCGGCAGACACTATTTTGCCCTTATCTCTAATTTTGTTGAAGAGAGAGTATAAGCAATAATAGGAAGGACCAAGGGTTTTTGCTAGTTGAGATGAGGACAACTATACAGGGAGTTGACTCGCATTGATTTCCTGTGCATGTGTGTTACCTTCTAAGTTAATTCTTCTTGAACTAACCTTTTCTCTAGTTCCTGGTTCCCTTCTCCTATTGGCCTCAGTTGCTTTAAAGTATCTGCTTTCCTTTCTCTGAGTTGAGGGCAACAAATGCTATCTAGTTTTTTAGGTGTCTTACCTATCCTCATACCTCCCTTGTGTGCTCTCACTTTATCATGTGATCAAAGTCCAATCCCCTTGTTGTGTTTGCCCTTGATCTAATGTCCGCATATGAGGGAGAACATACGATTTTTGGTCTTTTGGGCCAGGCTAACCTCACTCAGAATGATGTTCTCCAATTCCATCCATTTATCAGGTAGGATCTTTTGCCCAGAGCTGGCCTTGGACTGTGATCATCCTACCTATGTCTCCCACATACCTGGAATTACAGGCATGTACAAACATGCCCTGCTCATTTATTGAGATGGGGTCTGCTAACTTTTTGCCTTGGCTGGCATTGAACCACAAATTCTCCCAATCTCTGCCTCCTGAGTAGTTAGCTGGGATTACAGTTACGAAGCACTGCACCCGCTGCTGTTATTTCTTCAATTATTTTTTTTCTCAATTTCTCTGATGACCGTCACTCATTAGTTGGTAACTTGTGGTGTCCCACATTTCTCTGAGACTCCTGTTCATTTTTCTTCATTCCTGCTAATATTTCATTTAGTCTGAGTATCTTCATCTAATGCTCTTAATTGACTATCTTTGAGTTTGCTGATTCTTTCTTCTAGTTGCTCCACTCTACTTTTAATTTTCCTCTTGTTAATTTCATTTCTATCCTTGTACTCACCTCTATTTGGTTCTTGTAAAATAAATTTAAAGTCTTTATTGATCTTCTTTGGTGGGATTATCATCCATACCTTACTTTACTTCTTTAAGCATGAACATATTATGCTGCTTTGAAGTTTTTGCTAAGTTCAAGTAGCTGGATCACATCAAAGTTATACCCTATTCTTTTCCTATGTATGAGTTACAGTTTCTTGTTTATTTTCATCATCTCAAATTTTTTTTGTTGAAAATTGGATACTTTAGATAGTGTATTATAGCGATTTTTGGATACTGATTTCCCTGAGGGTTTGTTGTTGCTTATTTGTTTAGTGACTAGCTGGTCTTTTTCAATTTTGTTTCTTTCACAGTGTGCCTGCTGTAATGTCACACCTCAGAAGGAATAGCCTTGAGCATCTGCACTGTCACCCTGGAATAGCAGGCTCTCTTCAAGTTTTTCTTTTCTTGATTTTCCAGTTTAGCTTCTGACTGCTCTGCTGCTCTTACTCAGTTGGTGACCTCCACTAATTGACTAATTGTACACTAATTGCTTTATTGCTTTTTGAGAGTGGTCCAACATAAATTGATCCAGTGGTCATCTAAATTACATGTAGGTTTCATTGTCGGGCAGTCTTGGACGTTTTGTTCTGACCCCCGAATATCTCTCTTAGCTCTCTTTCACGGTTTTCTCTGTGTTGCACTTATAGATAACCTAAAAATTTAGGTCGCTTTTCTCATGCACTCTATTCATCTTATTTGCTTACCTCTAAAGTCTCCATTGTTTTTAGATAGCACTCTTGGCTTGAATTGCTCATACCTGTTCCGTAAAGTCTGTTGCCTTAGGGAAAGCTATCTGTTCTTAAGGCTTGCCCTTCTCACCAGGACAAAAAAAATTTCCGAGTCACTGTGCTGTAACTATTAGCAATGACAGTGGACTACTTTTCTTGGAGTGATACCCTTGCCTTACTAGTGGAGGGCTGTATAACCTTGTTTTTCTTGGCTTGTTCTTCCCAGCAAGGAAGCTCCACTCTATGAATAAGTGAAAGTAAGTGAACTTAGGGCCAAGAGCCTGTAGAGCTTCTGTCCCATGAGTGGATGCTATATAGAGAATGGGAGTACCATACCTATTGGATATTCCTTTCTGTAACAGAGCTTCTGCAACACAGAGCTTAGAATGGAGTGGGATGAAAAATACTTGTGTCTGCCCCTACTTAGGAGAGAGTGTAGTCCTTGAATGGAACCCAGTGGGGAAAGGGGTTCCCAAGGCCATCCTTGCCAAGACTTGAGCTTCTATGTCACTGAGCTGAGAGGAAGCAGATCCAGGCTGTGTCATTGACTCCCACAGTTGTTACCAAAAATTGGTTAATTTTCTTGAATAAATGGTTATTTGTTTTAATAGTTTTCGTAAGTTATTGTTGTTTTGCTGGAGAGAAGGTCTGAGGATTTCCTCATGCCACAATTCTGAAAGTGTCTAACTCTTATTCTGTGGTTCTATTTTTTTTTTGAACTCTCAGATTATACACTGAATTTATGGATTTTTCACACTACTATCTGGTTAAGTCTGATTTGCTGCCTGTTTTTTATGTAACAGAACACATCCATGATCATTCATTTACATGTATCTAGATTTCTGACAAGGTAGAGTAGTTTTCAACACAGACATATGGCTCACAAAGCCTAAACTATTTAGTATCTGGCCCTTTACAGACAAAAATAACTGCCAGTCCTACTTTGGTTGATAAGTTGACAAATATTTTTTTACTTACAAAGAAAAATATTTATTTTTTGCTCATTGTTCTGAAGGTTCCATTTCAAGATCAAGTGATCTGTCACTTTGGGCCTTGAGGAGAGTCACATCATAGTGGGAGCATGTGGCAGAACAAAAACAAACATCTTTTTGTTATTTAAAGGTATAAGCACATGAGTGGATAAGAATACCAACTGTAATTAAAATCGGTTTGGGATTAAAAGAAAGATAAAATTTGCATATTTTTAATATAAAACATGACATTTTCTTTTTTCTAATATTTTCAGATCTGGTTGCTCAGCGGGAGAAAGATTGGAATTGTTGATAGACAAAACTGAAAATCTTGTGGATTCAGTAAAGTATAGAATATAATAATTTTCCAGGATGTAAAGTCGATAAACTGTAAATGATTGCTAACATAGTAAGAACTTAAATTCAGTACTCCAGGTAGTTTTACTTTTTTGTTTGTTTCCCTTTCTCATATCCATTATGTCATTATATTATGATAAGGAGGATAATAATGAGTCACAGAAAAATAGCCAAGTTAGTAACCATTAAGGAAGCTTGGGATTACAAAAATAATTTCCTAAAATTTTGGATTGATGTACATTTTATGGATTCACTTTCCTTGTTTACAGTGGTGCTTGACCTTTTCTTTTATCAACCAAAGTTTAGGTTGGTAAGGGCCAGAACCCTTAAAAGATGCATGTCCTGTGAGCTACTTACACTACAGTTACAAGTATCTTTACATTTTCCACTTGGTTAAGTAGATAAAGTTTTCAGGAAAGATGAGCGATACATAGTGAACTGAGGGAGGAGATCTGTTTATAATTTGTGTCTACACGATTACAAATTGTAAAATGAAAAGTAGAAGTTTAGAATTTATACTTTGGTAAAATCAGTGATTGATCCTGTTTAATTGTGACTGGCAGCAGGATTGTAGTAGTTAAAACTACCAACTGTAGATCAGGAAGCCTGGA